TATCATTATAATTTATCACTGTTATTTTTCTTTATCTGGTAGTGACATGATCTGATCTGAATGTTGAAACAGTAAATAAAGTTAGCCATTAGAACTGCCTGTTAACACCCGTGCTGACACAGTCTGATTGCTCTCTGTAAACTTGTGTTTTTGCTTTTTGCAATAAACAAAGTAGTAGACAACTCTATGAAGTGCCTTTTATTCTTTGAATCAAATATTTCTGTTCCTTGTTAAATAAATATAACCACAAGAGCTACCATAGCTAATTTCAAATGGCGCTAAAATATATTAGGCTGAAATTTTATGTGATAGTAGCAAAGAATGATCCAAAAACATGCTGAATGATGGTCACAATTTTAAGCTAATCGCCAACGCCAAATTAACAAAGAACTGTATAATTCAGAGCATTTTAGACAAACATGACTGAAAATCAATGTGGTAGGAGCTGAAAACTAAATGCTATTCATAGCTAAATTTAAAATGGCGATAATTCAGCCATTTTAAGACTTATTAGATGAAATTTGTTGTGATGTAACCAAGGATGATTGCTAGTCCCAATTTAAGCTAACTGCTAATGCTAGTTTTACAAAGAGCTATAATTCAGCCATAGAATACACAGCTGAAAGTGTATGTTGTTGTAGCTGAGAATTATCTTTTACAATATCTCCTCTCTAACTAGGGTCGGGCGTAATCGTATCGTGTGCAATTAATAGTCAGAAAAACATTAATCGATTTATTTTTTGACACTTGACGATTAATATGATTAATGCCACCAGGCAGAGTCCGCTCAGTGCTCCTCTCCACTTCAAATATGACGAACATTTAAAAAAAAAAGTTCTGTGATTTTTTTTTTTATCTATCAACAGAATTTTAAAATTTGAAGTATAGCCTGAAATCTGTAATTTTGAWACAATTTGGAACAGATTCTTACGAAGAGCAAATCTTTCCCACTAAATTGGTCATGTGACCAGGACATAAGGGGGTCCAGGGACTCCATGATAATTTTTTTTGCCGAAATTGCCCAACTCTATCTCTGCATCTTTGTCTTTTTCCTTCCAATTGCATCTCCAATATTCTTTTATCAATATACCCATAGTTTTTCATCTGCACACATCTAAACCGTCTCAGTCTGCTCCAACTTTATCTCCCAGTCGTTCAACCTGTGCTGTACCTCTGATGATCTTATACCTAATCTTATCCATTTTTGTCACTTCCAAGGAGAACCTCTTCAGCCTGGCCACTTCCAGTTCTGTCTCCTGTCTTTTTGTCAATGCCACTGTCTCCAAACTATACAAYGTAGCTGGTCTCACTGCTCTTTTTTCCTTCGACCTTTGCTGCCAATTAGGGCTGCCATGAATAGTCATGATTATTGTCGACGATTAAAATCGTCGACTAATTTAATAGTTGATTCATCTTTTTTTTCTAACTTTGCCTTTCTCTCCAAACTGCTGCGGCACCTTCCACTGCTACGTCTACCTTTCTGTCCTTGACACACAAAGTAGTAGTAATTAGGGCTGCCACAAACAATTATTCTTATAGTCYACTAATCAGCGATTAGTGGACTATAAAAAAATACAAACTTAGAAAAAAAAATGATGTATCAACTATTAAATGAGTCGTTGACGATTTTAATAGTTGACATTATCGTGACTAGTCAACAAATCGTGGCAGCCCTACTGCCAGTCTTTTGTCACAATTTTCTCCTGAAACTTTCCTCCATTCACTTAATTCTGCCCGAACTCTCTTCTGCACCTCTTTTACAACCCTCCTTGTTTTCTGAACCGTCAACCCTAAGGTCTTAAAGTCCTGCACCTTTGTGACCTCTGCTTCCTGTGGCCTGAATGTTCCACCTGCCACCTCCTTAACCTTCACATCCTTTCTTGTTTGATCCTGTCTCACCAGTCAACACAAGTCCTAATCAACAGATGATTGTCAGTCATCTTCTTTCAAGCACATACCTCCATCTCTCCAAGTTGTCTTCCACCGGTTCCCTGTTCTCACCACAGATCACAATGTCATCTGCAAATATCAGAGTCCACCTCAATCTGTCCATCACCAAAGCTAATAAGGAGGGGCTCAGAGCTGATCTTTGATGCAGTTCCACCTCCATCTTGACGTTCTGTCACTCCTACAACACATCTCACCACTGTCCTGCTGTCCTCACACATGTCCTGCTGTCCTCGTGTCCTGTCCAACGTACTTCTCTGCCACTCCAGGTTTTTTTACACACCACCACATCTCCTCCCTTGACACTCTGTCGTATGTTTTTTTTTTTTATCTACAGACACAATGACTTTCTTTCTAATCCTCTGTGTTCTTCTGCATCAACATATTCAAAACAAAGATGGTGTCTGTGGTGCTCTTTCTTGGCATGAAACCATACTGCTGCTCACAAGTCTAGTTTATACCCACCTGATTTTCATCATGGGGTTCAACTTAATTCCCCTTCAGTTTCTACAACTCTGTACATCACCCTTGTTCTTAAAAATTGGCAGCAGCACACTCTTTGATTCCTCAGGCATTTATCCAACTTTCTTTTTACTCTCAAACATGCCATTGAATAATCAAGTCAAACATCTGACTGCCAGCTCTCCTAGACCTTTTCATATCTCCACCGGTACGCATCAGGTCCAACTGAAATTCTGTTTTTATCCTCTTCAATCAAAGCTTTCTGAACTTTATCCTCACTAATCTTTCCCACCTCCTAGTCTTGTTTGTTCTTTCACTTTCATTCTCTTCATTCATTAGCTCAAAGTACTCCTATCTTTCCATCAAACACTCCTCACATATTAGAAAATTACGTTTTTATCTGTAATAAACCTAACCTGCACATCCTTTCCTGTTCCCTCCTTATTGTCCAGCCTCTTGTACAACTCATACACCTTATGTTTGGCCTTTGCTACCTGCCTCTTTGCCCTTTGTTGCATCATACTCTTAATATTTAAAAAATGAAAAATAAAAAAACCTGAATACTCAATGTATTATAAGGATTCTGTTGGCAAGAACTGCAGCAAAGTGACATAATGTTCYTGCTACAATGGGGATCAAATGTTTTTCTTTTAGCATTTCACTTAAAATACCAACACTTAAAGGAGCTGAGTTGTTTGGAGTGCAGACAGGAGAATACATCTTAACACAACACCGTCACAGGATGGTCAAACGTGAACCCAGATTCTCGTCTGAAAGTTTCTTCAAATATTTTTTCACTGGAAAATGCTTCAACAGCAACGATATCCAGAGCATTTAACATCTTAAAACTCAGTGGTTTTGTTGTTCTGCTGGATCGTTACAGCTCCTGTATGCATCACTCTGTGGAAATTTTGCAGGGTGTRCAAAATAATACCTGAAAAATAATACCAGCAACCCTACTACAGGTTTGAAAGAGTTTCTTGATGAAAGTCCACCTTAATAGCCTGAGGTCAGGAGATTTGTTTGCACCAAGGTTATAATAGTTTTGGATTTTTCTTTATGGTTTAGTTTTATTTTGTTTTGACTTTTTTTAAAATTCAGTTTTAATTAGTTTTTACAGTGGATTTAGTAGTTTTTTTTAGTTATTATTGCATTTTTAATGTTTAGTTTAGTTTTTATTAGTTCTAGTATTAGTTTTTTATATAGTTTATTTGTCAATGCATCCAACTTGTGATGTTCCTATAGTTAACTAACCAACAGCTATTTAGTCGCTAGTTAAAGCATCAATTATAGCGATACCTTTGTAAAATAATTGTGTAACTGAATTTTGCAACTAAAACTTGGGTGATTATTTTAGGACGATGACTATATTTGTCTCCAGCCTGGTGCTACCTGTTGTTTGTTTTTCATGGCAGCTACTGAGAGAAGTTAGCGTGTCAGGATAGATAGATCATAGTTAACCATTTTGTGTGAGCTTCATTCATGCAGTTTCTCCCTTGAGAAGTATTCCACCTGTTTTATCACCTATTTCCACTACAAGACACTTTTTAAATTTTTTTCTCGCAGTCATATTCAAAGAAATAACAAAGTGRAAGTTGCCATTTTCTCCCAACTTTTGTTGTCATCATTTAGCAGACGATGCTGAACATCAGACTGTAAACAAGTGTTGTTACAGAACATGAGATGCTGTAAGCTGCACACAGCTAATGTGAAACTACTCAATTTAAAAAAAAAAGATCCACGTCTCAAAATAAATTGACAAACACTAAAACTAAGGCTATTCTATCCATAATTTCAGTTAGTTTTAGTTAGTTATGTAAAAAGGTTATACAGTTTTAGTTAGTTATCGTTTTTCATTTTATTACAGTTTTTATTTATTTTAGTTAACTAAAATGTTTTTTCAATTTCAGTTTTTATTAGTTTTAGTGAACTATAAAAACTCTAGTTTGCACATAATGTATTGAGTTAATTTTTGTGTGAATGTATCAGGTGTTTGCTCCTCGCTGTAYTTTCCCAGTTGCTGCAGCAGTTTGGTTTGTGCAGTCATCCTTCCTTTTCCCGTAAGATTTCTTGTTGCCAGCTGGTGTCTGTTGAGTTGCAGGTGTGTGTTGGCTCAGGCACTCGGACTTGGAGTTTGCTGTTTTTGCCTACTAACTTCAGGCCATTTCTCACCTGCAGACCTAGTGAGGATTCAAACAGAAGACTTGTGATTGTTTAGGTGTCGGGGTCAGAAAGGGCTCTGYGGTTCCTCGAAAGCAGCCCTACGTCTGACTCAATCTCAGTCTGTGACAAATAAGGCCGAGGCTGCTGTAATCAGATTAGAAGACCTGAGCGACATGCTGCAAATGTTCCACCTTGTGATCCTGTGCATTCATGTTGTTACAGCCGTGAGGTAATGAGATTAACTCCAAAACAGGGGCTGTTCAAACCCACCTTTATAGCAGCTGGGACTAGAAACCCCTTCTCCCTTTCTGGTGTTTAAATTCAGCCACCTTCATCTGCTGCAGTGTTATCATGTTGATGCATGGCCAGAGTTAGCTCACCGTTTCACTACAAGAATAATCCATGTTTGTTTGGGATCTCCTCCTCAGGAAACCCAGGATAAACTCCCAGCTGGTAGCCCAGCAGGTGGCTCAGCAGTACCCCATGCCTCCCCCTGCCAAAAAGGACAGGAGAGAGAGGAGCGAGCGCCCGGACAAGGAGCGCCTGCACAGCGAAGGAGAGCGGGCTGGTGGAGAGGGACACCCTGAGGGAGAGCGTCCAGACAGAGTGAGGCTGGAGGGAGAGACCCCCGAGAACGACAAGAGTGACAAAGAGCAAGCCATCGTAGACAAACCTGACAGAGAGAAGGACATCAGCCCAGCTGTCACAAAAAAGCCCAGCAGCAAAAAAACCAGGTTGGTACCAAAGTCAGGCTCGAACTGGTATCTAGATGTTCTCTGTGCTGCTCTAAATCCTCTCCTGTGTTTTCCTCCAGACCCAAATCAGACAGCCATCAGAGCCCACCCAGTGACAAACAGAGCATACAGTCTGGGAAGTCTGCAACCAAGACCAACAAAAACTCWCACAATTCCAGGTTTGTGAGAACTTTCTGTTCTGCTTCTTTGCCAGAACACGACTAGACAACACTTTTGTTGAGGGAAAGTCTTGCATCAAAACTTAAAGGGATCCAGGTTCACTTGTAACATTAGACTTTATTTGATAAACAAATATTTTAACTGTAAAATAAAGACTGTAAAAATACTGTAGGATGTTCAGTTTTTATTATTTTTAAACTAAAAGTATTTATAAAGTATATTACATGGACAGGGCCATTTTATTTGCACACAAAGCATTCTGGGATAGGTCCACGGTGTGAGTGAGCTATATCCACCCTGAAGGTTAATCTTGGACAATATCTGATGATCGACTCTTTTAAATGAAACCAGAGAGCGTTGACAGAGAGGAGAAGGTAGAAATGACTCAGCCTGGAACTGAAAATATGGATGGAGGACAACAGAGCTGCTTCATGGAAGAAGAACCTCAGCTTAGCCTGTTAGCCCCGATGCTAACAAGGAAAACTGTTGTCCTCCATCCATATTTTCAGTTCCAGGCTGAGTCATTTCTACCTTCTCCTCTCTGTCAACGCTCTCTGGTTTCATTTAAAAGAGTCGATCATCAGATATTGTCCAAGATTAACCTTCAGGGTGGATATAGCTCACTC